CGCCGATGATAACACATCAATGAAAACAACACCAGAACCTAAAACCACACCAATTGTTCGCACAACCAAAATGAAGACAACGATGAGCACGTCCACGACAACAAAACGACCAACTTTCAAATCAACCATACCACGAAAAACCATGAAGACGACAAGCCGTCAAAAATATAGCAAAACAACAATAAAACCAAAACAAACAACTGTTAAATCAACAACACCACTAACAACTATGAAAAAAACAATCTCGGGGAAACCTAAGTCACCTTCAAAAAGCACAAGCATGAAAGCAAAAGCTTCAACAATTTCGGTCAATCCTTCAACATCGACACCGAAGACTAATACTACAAGAAAAACCAGCATAAAACAAACGCATATAACTCCAATAACCGATGCTATCAAACCAAGTACCAGGAATACAACCCTAAGCATATTTAGCTCAGTATCATGGGAGTCAACCGGAAGTACAACGATTCCTAGGCTTTCGGCTGATGGAAATAATACGGTAAATTTAACGCAAACAGATATTGGAATTGGAGAGACCCAAACATCAGTGGGAAGAACTGGTGGAGCTTCCATGACTCCTCTCATAATAGGTATATCATGTGGAATAGCTGTAGGTTTAATAGTTATAGCAATTTTGGCATATATGTGGGTTAGGCGTCAAAGAAATAAGCTATCTGATGAAACTATAGAGGAAATGGCGCCCATTACCAATGCCGAAGGTGGTTACTATCATCCGAGTTAAAAAAAAAAAAGATTACTTACAAAGAAAACAGTTAATGTGAAAATGTACTCATAGTGAAAATTTATGAATGTTGGTTACGCGTAGGACAACATGAAGATTTGAAGTTACCTAAGCTTGGTTTACTTCGATATTCAACGCTGATATTGAACAGGGTTACTTTTGTCACATTTATAAGATCTTTTATTAAGTTGATAAACGCACATCAAAAATCCTTACTATACGTGCTATTGTGATCTATTTTTGCCGTTTTAGGGCAAACTGTTTATTAATTGTGTAAAGATGATATTGTGCATTATATGTGTTGGACAACATTTTGGGACGCCGACAACACATAAATGTCGGTGAAGTGCATATCTTTTTTCTCACTGCCATGTTACGTCCAGTCAAAATTATAACTGCTTAATGGACATGACCATGATTACTATGTAATTCTGTAGATAAGGATAAGTCTTCTGATCATGTACATACGTTCAGAAAACAGTCGATTTTTTATCTTCGGTAAGATCTGCATCGGAAGAAAGGGTGATATAAATCCATCAAAATTACGTGATGACATATACTGAAAAGCTCGGATGATGTTAATGAAATCTATAGTGCTATATATGATATTTCAAGCTATTTAATTAATTTGGTTT